GAGGCAGGAGAATTGCCTGAACCCAGGAGGCGGAGGTTGCGGTGAGCCGAGATCGCGCCATTGCACTCTAGCCTGGGTAACATGAGTGAAACTCCGTCTCAAAAAAAAAAAAAAGAGAATGATTAAAAAAAAAAAACACCTTTGTCTTACAAGTTGGATGCTAAATAGCTCAGCCACAGTAGGAAGCCACAGTACGGCATCAGGAAGAGTTGTGAGGCCCCTCTTCCAAGGCCTAGCTCCTGGATATTTCCAGATATACCCTGGGGCAGAAGAGAATCCACTACCTTGAAGGGAAGGACCCAGTCCTGGCAGGATTCATCATCTGTTGACTAAAGAGCCCTGGGGTGCTGAATAACCAGCTGCCGTAGTCAGGTAGTATAGGCCTTGGGTGAGACTCTGAGATGTACTGGCTTCCTGTGTGACCCAGCACATTCCCAGATATGATAGCAACAAGGAGAGGCCCCCTTGCTTGAGAAAAACAGAGGAAAGAGTAAAGAGGACTTTGTCTTTAGCTTAGCAGCTCAACCACAGTAGAAAAGAGCAGCAAGTGGATATTGGGGTCCCTAGTTCCAGGCCTTGGCTCTTGTACAGCATCTCTGGACCTACCTTGGACCAGAGGGGAGCCCACTAACCTAAAGGGTGAGTCCCAGGCCTGGCAGCATTCACCACAAGCCGACCAAAGAGCCCTTCGGCCGTAAGCGAACACTGGAAGTATCCTGGCAGTATTCCTTATGGGCCTGTGGTGGTGGGGAACATGAGGAGAGACTCCTCTGCCTGGGAAAAGGAAATAAAAGAGTGGAAAGAACTTCATTTTGTGGCTTGGGTGCCAGCTCAGCCACAGTGGAACAGAGCACCAGGTATATTACTATGGTTTCCGACTCCAGAGCCTGGCTCCCGAACAGCATCTCTGGACCTGTCTAAGGCCTGGTAGAATTTGCTGCCCTTAAGGGAGGGACGTAGGCCTGGCTGACTTCACCACGTGTTAATTGTAGAGCCCTAGGGCCTTGAATGAACACAGCCAGTAGTCAGCTAGTGGGTACAGTTGGCCCTGAGAAAGACCAAGTACTCTACTGGTTTTAGGCTTAACAGTTCAGTCCCAGTGGTGGTGGTCACAGGGGTAGTTGTGTAACTTCTTTTCCAGCTCCAGGGATCTCAGCACAGAGAGAGATACTCTGTTTGTTTAGGAGAAAGTAATTTAAAAAAAAACAAGCGTCTCTGCCTGGTAGTCCAGAGAATTCTTTTGGATTTTATCCAAGACCACCGAGGTCTTAGAAAAACACAGAATAACAGTAATAATTGTGGTGTATAACCTATGCATATGTTAAGTAGAAAGACAAAAAGATGAACCGATCCAAATAACTATAACAACTTTTGAAGACATAGATAGTACAGTAAAATATAAACAGAAACAACAGCAAGTTAAAAAGTGGGGAGATGAAGTTAAAGAGTAGAGGTTTTATCAGTTTTCTCATTGCCTGTTTATGGAATCAGTATTAAATTATAATCCGTTTTTAAATAATGAGTTATAAGACATTGTCTGCAACCCTTATGGTAACCTCAAATCTAAAAGCACACAACAGATACACAAAAAATAAAAAGCAAGAAATTAAATTATACCACTAGAGAAGATACTCTTCACCAAAAGGAAGATAGGAAGGAAGAAAACAAGGAAGAGAAGACCACAAAACAATCAGAAAACAAATAACAAAAGACAGGAGTAAGTCCTTACTTCTTAATAGTAACATTAAATGTAAATAGACTAAACTCTCTAATCAAAAGAGGGAGAGTGTGGCTAAATGGATGGAAGAGCAAGGCCAAACGATCTGTTGCCTAGCCTGCAGGAAACACACTTCACCTATAAAGGCACCTAAAGACTGAAAACAAGAGGGATGTGAAAAGATACTCCAAGCTAATGGAAACCAAAAAAGAGCAAGAGTAGCTCTACTAATACCAGACAAAATAGACAAAAGCCATAAAAAAGAGACGAAGGGAGTTATTATATAGTGATAAAAGCATCAATTTACCAAGAGGATATAACAATTAAAAATATATAGGCAGCCAACATTGAAGTGCCCGTATGTATAAAGCAAATATTGTTGGAGCTAAAGAGAGAGACGGACTCCGGTAGGATAACAGCTGGAGAGTTTAACACCCACTTTCAGCCATTGAAACAGATCGTTCAGACAGAAAATCAACAAAGTAACGTCAGACTTAATCTGCACTATGGACCAAATGAATCTAATAGATATTTACAAAACATTTAATCCAACAGCTGCAGAATACACATTCTTCTCCTCAGCCCATAGATCACTCTGAAGGATACATTAGATGTTAGGACATAAAACAAGTTTCAAAACATTTTAAAAATTGAAATAGTATTAAGTATATTTGAACACAATGGGATAAAACCAGAAGTTAATAACAAGAGTGATTTGGGGAACTATACAAACACAGGAATGTAAACAATATGCTCCTGAACAACCAGTTGGTCAATGAAGAGATTTAGAAGGAAAATGAAAAATTTCTTGAAGCGAATGATGATGGATACACAGTATACTAAAACATACGGGTTACAGCAAAAGCAGTGCTAAGAGGTTAATTTATAGCTCTAAGTTCCTAGAGCTATAAACAAGAAAACAATAAGAAAACCTTCAAATAAACTACCTGACAATAAATCCTTGAGGCAATGGATATCCCATTTACCCTGATGTAGTTATTACACATTGCATACCTACAACAAAATATCTCATGTAACCCATAAATATGGACTCCTACTATGTACTCACAAAAATTAAAAATTAAAAAATAAGCCTTCAGTTAATGAAGTTGAAATGCCAGAAATTCCCTGGAATGCTAGGAAGGAGTCCAGAGACTCAGGAAGTGGATCTGTTGGAATGGATCTATTCTATCTATATGCAAGCTGCTGAGCCATCCCTGACTGCACTCCCAGGGATCCCCAGGGGGCATACGCCCTTTAATCGAGGTATTAAGAAATGCTTTGATGAGATGTGGGAGGAGGGCAGCATGCTTGAGAGCTCCATGGTGGCTATTCTTTATAGATCAGTGATGTCAGTGGGGTATGCTATAATCCCATAGTTCTCAAACTTTTGTGTATATCAGGATCACTTGGAGGGCTTGTGAAAGCAGTCTGCTGCTGGTGGTAATTAAAGCGATCATGATGTGGACAGATTCTATTACTGTGTTACTTTCCATGATGCACCCAAAATATATGAGCAACCCAATCCCAGAATCCTATTTGTAAGGTCTATTTTATGGGTCCAATTCTATGTCAATAAGTAAGTGTCCCAACAAGAAATAGATAACACTTTAAATGGAAGACTTGGAGAAAGGTTTAATAAAGAAGCTATTTACAAAGATGTAAGTTGGTGAAGAGAGACCACGGGGGTGTTTGTTACTCTGAGGCTGTTAAGAACATGGTTACACTACAAAAATTTTGTCTCATTCTGTAGGATGTCTGTTCACTCTGATGATAGTTTATTTTGCTGTGCAGAGGCTCATTAATTAGATCCCACTGGTCAATTTTGGCTTTTGTTGCAATTGCTTTTGACGTTTTCATCAAGAAATCTTTGCCTGTGCCTATGTCCTGAATGATATTGCCTAGAATTTCTTCTCGGGTTTTTATAGTTTTGGATTTTACATTTAAGTCTTTAATCCATCTTGAGTTCATTTTTATATGAGGTGTAAGGAAGGGGTCCAGTTTCAATGTTCTGCATATAGCTAACCAGTTTTCCCAGAACAGTTTATTAAACAGGGAATCCTTTCCCCATTGCTTATTTTTGTCAGGTTTATCAAAGATCAGATGGTTATAGATATGTGGCCTTATTTCTGAGATCTCTATTCTGTTCCATTGGTCTATGTGTCTTTTTATACTAATACCATGCTGTTTTGGTTACTGTAGTCTTATAGCATAGTTTGAAGTCAGGTAGTGTGATGCCTCCAGTTGTGTTCTTTTTGTTTAGGATTGTCTTGGCTATTCCACTGAGGCCTGTCAGGTGGTGAGGGGAAGGGAGAGCATCAAGATAAATAGCTAATGTAGGTGGAGCTTAATACCTAGGTGATGAGTTCATAGGTGCAGCAAACCACCATGGCACATGTTTACCTGTGTAACAGACCTGCACGTCCTGCACATATATCCTGGAACTTAAAATAAAATTTTTAAAAAAGAATGTACTCCTAAATCTAAAAAGAAAGAGCAGGGGTTACCTCACCAAACCTGGATAGGAGAGTCTTGGTAAGACTACCTTGAAAGAAGTTAAAACCATTTGTTGAGGGATGTATCCATGTTGAGGAACACAGGGAGGCAACAGAGGAAGAAGAAACTCAACTTCACCCAATTCTGTTGTCCTCAGGGGCTCCGTTGTGACTAAACTCAACCAGAAGCTAGACGGCCAGCAACCTCACTGATATAACCCACCAAGATTGGGTTCCCAGGGCAGAGAATAGAATGGAAAATAATGGAATGTGTGTCTGAAGGGACAGCTTGTAATATCCTTTTCTCCTGTGGGTCTTGACACATTTTTGTATCAAAGGTAGGACACAAAATAAATTGAGTGGTGTACAGTCTTCTGATATTCTCTTGAACAGATTGCACAAGATTGAAATGATCAGTTCCCTGAATGCTTGGAGGAATTTGTTGTTCAAGCCCATTGAGCCCAGAGAATGTTTTGTGGGAAGATTTTCAATTACTGATTCCAATTCTTTAATAGCTTTAGAATGACTTTCTATTTTTTATTTCTTTGTGGACCCTGGTAAGTTAGATTTTTGGGAAAGTCATCCATTTCCTCTAAATTAAATTTTTGGCATAAGGTTCTTATTATTTTCTTTTTGGTGTATGTAGGCTCTGCAACTGGTTATATGTACCCTTTTCCTTTTCCTTTAGTTTTTTTTAGTGTAGGTGGAGCTTAATATCTAGGTGATGGGTTGATAGGTTCATCAAACCACCATGGCACATATTTACCTATGTAACAGCCCTGCATGTCCCACAGGAATTAATTTTCATTGTTTTTCTTTTTCCTGTTGGAGAAAGTAAGCAGAGAACAGCTGCTTGGATGGCTTCCCATGGTGAGTGGTTGGGGCACATTCCTCTCTGGCTGCTTGTGGCCTGGACAGCCAGAAGGAAGCCATGCTGTGCTGCTTCAACCTCAGCTTTCCTCTTGAATTTCCTAGAAAAGTCTTTGGTCTGCACCTCCAGTTCAGCATATTCAGGACCCCCCTTCATCATAACTTGGTCATTACCCTGCTCAGGCCAAGGTCCTCTGAGAGCTCCAACCGTCTTCACTCCCTGTAAAAGGCAGGCAGAACAGCCAGAGGAGCAGAGAGACCAAGAAACATTGTGAAATCTCCAACTCTTGCCCTCCAACATGAAAGTCTCTGGAGCACTTCTGTGCCTGCTGCTCATAACAGCAGCCTTCAGCCCCCAGGGGCTTGCTCAGCCAGTTAAGGCCCCTCTTCCCTTCATCTCTCCCTTCCTTTTTCTCTGTTTCTCTCTTCTAGAAAGCCCTAAGCCCAGGCACCCCCACTTTTTTTAAGACAAAGTCTTACTCTGTGGCCCAGGTTGGAGTGCAGGGGTGTGATCTCAGCTTGCTGAAACCTTTACCTCCCAGGGGTTTAAGCAATTCTCTTGCCTCAGCCTTCTGAGTAGCTGGGAATACGGGCACCTGCCACCACACCCAGCTAAGTTTTGTATTTTTGTAGAGACAGGGTTTCACCAGCCTGGTGGGCCAGGCTGGTCTTAAACTCCTGACCTCAAGTGATCTGACTGCTTTGGCCTCCCAAAGTGCTGGCATTACAGGCGTGAGCCACCGCACCCAGCCGTTGTCCTACTTCTAAGCCCACCAGAGCGGTAAGGTTCCTCAGAGGTTTACTTTAACATCTAATTTTAAAGACAGAAAGCTGAAGCGCAGGTTGGGGACAGAAGAGACCCTACCCAGACACCTCCAGGTTATCCCAGAGCAAGAATGAAACCTAAGCTTCTGACTCCAAATTTAGGGCCTTTTCTTTGACCTCATCTGATCATCCCAAACTCTGCAGATCTGGGACCACACACAGGACCTTTCCCACTGGCCTTGCCCATGGCCTCCCCTAGATGGCAGTGACACGTCCCCACCATGCAGCTGAGAGTTTGAGACCCTGAGGCACATGTCACAGGTCTCACCTCACCTCAGGGTTTAGGGTGCGAGTGCTGGGCCTGGGGGTGAGTAAGATCTACTTCTTCCTCTTTGCTTTGCAGCCCATACAGATTCACCTTGCTGCATTCCAGCTGAGAAAAGCCTAACACATCCTCAAAGGCTTTTCCTTTGTAACTTTATTTCTAAGTGAACTCAATGTCCCATCCATCTGCTGCTTCACATTTAGCAGTAAGAAGATCTCCTTGCAGAGGCTGAAGAACTATCAGATCACCAACAGGCAGTGTCCCCAGAAGGCTGTCATGTGGGTAGAAAACTCCTGCTCACCTGGCTCCTCTCCACCCTCTGCCCCAGGAGACAGACATCAGACTGATTTGGTATCTGACTCAGGATGAGATCTAACCAGAACATATGATGCAAATCCTCCTATTTTGACTGCTCAACAGGCCGAAAGAGGGTCTATAACTTCCCATGCCCTGCTCACTGGATGGGCACCAGCCCACAGCCTTTAGCAGTTGCCAGGATCAGTTTCCCAGGGCCAGCAAGAGCAGCAGCTGCCTCCAGAGAACGCTCCTGTCCACACACCTCCTACTTCCTGTCCCAGAAGGATGTCCCTTCACCTGTAGCAGGTGGGCCAGGCAGGTTTACAGCTCAGTGTGTCATCTCCTGGGTAAACCCTCAAAGAGTTCCATCCTAACAGTGCCAGCTTTCCTTCCTCCACAACTTCAGAACCAAACTGGGCAAGGAGATCTGTGCCGACCCAAAGGAGAAATGAGTTCAGAATTATATGAAATGCCTGGGCCAGAAAGCTCACACCCCGAAGACTTGAACTCTGCTGCCCACACTGAAATCAAGCCAGAGTATGCAAAGTGACTTTTCCATTCTCCTCTGGCCTCCTCATCTATACTTTGGAGTATTTCTACCATCCTTTGCAAATAGAATGCGTTCTGTTTTGTGATGCAAAATGTACTCTGTGTTAAGTAATGTTGACTGTTATTTGAATTGTTGCTGGTTTGGAGTTTGAGTATGGGTGATCTTTTTTAAAGCAAGGCCTTGAGCAAGTTGGTTCCTGTCTGTGGGCTGCCGTGCCTTCCACTGTGAGCCACTGGCCGTGGGTTTGTCTTCTGCTGGCAGGGGTTGAGAGTGTGCCCGTGGGAGTCACGGACATGAAGGGTTGCTGCAAGGCAGGGAGGAGAACTCTTCGTGAATGTCAGGTGTTGCTAAATATGTTATTGTGGAAAGACGAATGCAATAATAGGCCTGCTGACATTTTGCAGAAAATACACTTTATTTAAAGTCTCTTACACAGTGATGTTTTCTTCAGGGGTAACTTCCAATCAGCAAGGGCGCTCAGAGGTGTGGGTGGATGGTGGAGCATGCTAGTGGAAGGCGAGTGTAGAGACCCTGGCCATGGGGCTAGCCTGGCTCATCTGAGTTTCAAGGAGGGCCTGCCTCACCAGCCCAGGCTGTTCTGGAACAAGGGCTCCAGTCCCCAACATAGACACCCCTGGCTCGCAGCTCCTCAGTCTCATATTCAGTTCATTTCTTCCTTTAAAACCACACGCCTACCCAAAGTAAACCCCTTCCTCCCACGCTAGTCTCCTGCTCCAATCCATGCCTCCCCAGTGCAAGCAGCAAGTGATTCTGACTTTGCGTGCCCCTGACTCCCAGGGGGAAACTAGATGACTGAGTCCTAGTGAGCCCCAGGATCAGCAGGGAAGAGGGGACTTGGGCAGAACAGACCTTAGAGGATGAGGAAGTGTGGTCATAGCAAAGATTCTTCCAGGGGAGGTGCAAGATGGCAATGTGGGGAGAGGGCCTTGGGGGGAATATCCCCAAAATGGTCAGATTCAGAGTTCCACGGTGTAAAAGTTGGAGACATGTAGAAAGGAAAGTTGAGGACAGGCTCTTGAGGAATTGGAATATCAGAATGTGGGGTTTAGATTCGTTCTGAAGGCAAGAGGAACGTATGAAGGTTTTTGAGTCATCCAGAGAGAAGGATGGGTGCCAGGAAGAGTAGCCAGTGGCTGTGAATGAGATGGAGTTGGGAAGGGAAGGCTGAAGACAGCCTACTGCAATTGTCTAAGCAAGAGGAAATAGTGGGAGACGAAGGGCAGTTATGGGGGTAGAGGGGAGGAGGCAGATTAAGAAGACTGGGCCAGATGTGTGACATGTTGAATGGGGAAAGAGGGAAACACAGCATGAGACCTTCGCCCTCTAAAAGTGACCTTTAAAGGCATGCCAACCCCAAAACCTAGAAATACTTCCTTCCCTGGCTATTCTCCTCGAATCATACTTCGTACAAATTGGAGGTTGTGACTGTCCCTTTTAAAGCACCAGAACCTCCTCTTCCACCAAGGGTTCTCCTGCTCTTCCCAAGACAGCCTCACTCCTCCAGATAAGCTGGGTGGGCATCTCGATCAGACCCAGAGCCCACCCATGGCTGGACACCCAAGGAGAGATCGGCACTGCTGACAACAGCAGGGCCTGTCCCCTGGATCTTGTACCACACTGCATCAGGCAGTACAGTTGGCAATTTAGGACGCCAGGAGGAGTTGTCCTGGGAGGCAGCAGCCCTGGGTTCGATCACCAGATCCGCCACCCCCCACCCCAACTTGCTGCATCTCTCTTTAGCCCTCAGCCACCTCACAGGCAGAAAATCTCACATGATCCCCTTCAGATAGGGCAGCTGTGATTTAGTTATAATATCACCCCCCGAGCCCTCTGGGCAGGGCAGGAAGAAGGAGAGTCCTGCACCCAAATGTGACCCAGCTGTGAACCCCAGCTTTCTCTTCCACTGTACACCTCTTGACAGCCAAACTTGGAGGCAGAAAATCTGCACCACCACACCAGTCAAAGCTTACTCCCCAGGACAAAGGCAGCTACTGAGAGGTAGAGAGTCACTAATTTAGTTCAGTTCCCCTGGCATCAGGTGCAACATGCCTCCCTCTTCCTTCCCCATCCTTCAGCCCCTGGCCACCACCTCCCAATGCCCATCAAGTTTTCACTCTGAAATCCAAGAGACACAGAGGGGTGGGGGTTGATGATTCTATAATTTAAATGTATAAATTGTGACAACATAGCTTATAAAGACCAAGCTGATCCTCCATGTCCCAGCAAACGTGGGGCAGAAGGAACAATGCAGGGCTGGGGGCTTCAGGGAAAAGTGAAGCCGTGTGATTTCCAGAGCCCATGACGGAAAGAAATCTGCTCATTTTCTTTTTGGCGGGCAGTAGCTCAGCTTTTCTACGTACTTCTGAGCCCATTTGTCAGTCTTCAAGGCACAGGCTTCCTTGCCTCCCTTCAGCTTGAATCTGTGAACAGAGAAAAAGAGAGAGGGCTGAGCCACCCACGCCACCACTGTGTGGGCACCGCACAAGCCCCATCTCTTCCTGCTGCCAGGTGCCCTAGGGTGCTCTTGCTGGGCCTTGAGCTCCCCTCTGTAAATGAAGTTGCTGCCCAAGATCTGTTGCTTGCACGCCGGGAAAGAGCCAACACACCAGGAGCTTATGAATTGAGCTTCCTGGACCCCTCTGCTGGTTTCAATTTGTTGTATCAGGGTGGGGCTGAAGACCCTGAAAACATTCTGATGATTAGCTGGGATGAAAAATTCCCATCCAAGAATAGCTCTCTGCTCCAGCGTTAATGTTTCTATGTCCATCTGGGACCTTACTTGTTGCATTGGACTCGTGTGAGTGTGTGTGTGTGTGTGTTCCTCTTTTGATCTTCTTATTTCCTAAACCAGACTATCGTCCAATCTATATATCAACTTTGTCTTTTACTATCTGGGTGATCTTAGACAAATATCTCTATCTTCCTGAACTTCACTTTTCATGATAACAAAAATATGTGCCCCAAGAGGATTGGCAGAGATAATACACATGAAAGTGCCTTAAAATGCTGACTGGTTTGTGAAAGCTACCCCAGTTAAGTTTATAAAGACCCTGTGATGCCGGCATCATGTTTATGCCCCTTCACAGGTAAGGAATACAGAAGGATACACAGATAATTAGGTACAAAGGAGTTACCTGTCCAAGGTTACCCAAGACTATAGGTTCCAAATCCAGAGGCAGGAATTAATCCTGGTTCCCTTGCTCTTTCCACTGCACAATAGTCCCTTTTGTTAAACAGTTCCTTCCTCTGAGCCTATAATGCTGGGATATAATACTTGGCACCTTGGAGTTTCAGGAAACACAAGTCACTGCAGGAGCACAGATGCATCCCTCTCAACACCTGCTAGGGAGCTCAGCGCTCCCCCTAGCGACCAAGCGCAACTTGCACCCAGGTGTTGGCGGCGCTGGGTTTAGAAACCTTATTCTGGTGAAATACTGCCATCTAGTGTCTACTATTCTAATTCCAGGCTGGCGGAGTTCTGTTCTCTAGGGAGAGATTGAACAGGTGATCACTTACATGAAACTATCCTGGCGGCAGCTGGAGCTGGTGTTTCTGTAACACTGGATTACCCCCAGGGAAGTCTTTTTCTTCATAAATGAGAAGCAACAGCTGGAGAGGGACACATGCACTAGAAGCGAAACACAAATGGTGGTTTGCATCCATTTCTCAACCTCCCACCTGTAGCACAAATTTTAAAAAGCAAGCAAACAAAAAAACGCCCCCCAGGACAAGCCCTGGCTTGGAGACCACATCTACAGGGTGCCGGCATGGTTCTGTGTCATCGGCTACCTCGTTCTGGGTCTAGGTGAGAGTCAGAAGATTGGGGTTCAGATCTGAGCTCCCCGCACACCAACTGAGTATCCTTGATGAAAGTGTACCGCCACCCCAGCGCCAGACTTCTCATCTGTAAAATGAGATTTTTTGGAGCCTGGTTTCTAAAAGCTCATCCAGTTTTGGTATTTCACCACACGTGCATGGTTCTGCCCCAATATTCATGTCCAAGGGCTCTGGGCCCTACACCCTGGGGGCCTGGCTAGTCTGACCCAGGACACTGTGATCCACAGTTCGCAGACCTGACCTGGGGAAGATTAGGAATTGTCCAAGGAGTCCAAACTGATGAGATGACAAGGGAAGAGCTCCCAGGAACTAGCTAGCTCCCTACTCAGCCTATTAAATCCCCTCCTGCCCTGGTCCTCTGCTCTTTCTGAGCCCCCAACCCCCACTCTGTCCATTTGTGCATTCTCCTCCTACACCTCATCCCCTAAGAGACTTGCATTCCAATCCCAGCTTCTTCCTCCTAGTTTTTCTGTTCACAACCGCTTTCATGACTGTTACTAGGTTAGTATTCTCCAAACAGCCTTGGAGAGTGGACATCATCACCTCCATTTCACCGATAGAGAAAGTAGAGTTTGAGAGCTAAAGTGACTTCCCCAAGTGCAGCTGACTGATAGAGCCCTGGTCCTGCATTCAGAGTCTGTTTAGTGTCTGTCACACTGTGGAAGCTACATCCAGGCCCTGCCCTAGACTTTGGGGCTCCCAGCTTTACCTAGGTAACCTCACAGGTTCCCTCCCTTGGGCCTGAATGAAGCAGAGCTGCCTTGTACTGAAGCTGGAAGTTCATTTCTCTGTGTTAGCCCCAACTCATGGTTCTCCCACTGGCCCTCACCCCCAGCCCACCCAAGTTCACCATTCCTCCTCTTTAGATAGGAAGAAGGGAGATAAGAGTTGGTGAGACCTGCTCCAACCCCAGAGTGGCTGACCACACTTCTACTCTCCCCAGAGAGAAACAAAGTGATGCCTGCCATACTCACTGCTCTTGCTGTCCACATCTTGTGGCCACATCCCAGCTAGCAGCAAGCACACCAGGGCCATGGTGATGATCTGCATGTCTAGTGGTCTGGCTCGGGCCTTCCTGGAGCAGCCTTGATGAGTCTGGTGAAGCTACAAGATCACCATTGTGCCATTCTGCAATGCCGAGGGCTTTTATTTTGAGACCAGGTGGAGTTTTCCAGGCCATGGTGGGAGGCACAAGTGAGAAGCCACAGGGACAGGGAACAGTTGCTCACACCCAGTGACCATGTGGTAAACTCCTTTCCCTGCCTCTCCTGGGTGGTATTTGTGGTGGTGATGGATTGATAGGTGACATTGGGAATTTCCCCAAGTGTGGGAGCCGATAAGAATCTTGAAAAAGTGCGTGGGAACTGCCCTGGTTGAGTGGGAAGCTAAGAAAAGTAAGTGAAAGGAAGTGACCCATGTGTGGCTTGTCCAACCCTGCGTCCTTCCATCCAGGCATGCAGCTGCTGTCACAGGGCAGAAGAGTCTGGACCTGGACAGAGATATACCTGCATTTGAATCCCAGTTCTGCAGACGAGGGAGGGATTACATAAACTTACCCAAATGCATATCCACACAAAATGCAAATAGCAATACATGTCTCAAGGGCGTGCGATAAGAATTAAATAAGATTCTCTATGTCAAGTGGCCTAGATAGTTGCTATTTCTATTTTTCTTCAAGCCTCACCACTTTTCAGTAGCTTATTCTGTTCGAGGTCCTTGGGTAGCCCCAGGGAAGGCAGTTACCAACGAGATGCACTGCCTGACCTCGGCCACTTCTCTTCAACTCACAAATAAACAAGCAAAAACCACCCAGAGCTACTTACTAGTATCTGAGGTCCTGCCATGGAATTTTCCCTTGTTGTTTGTTTTCTAGAGTCTCGCTCAGTGGCCCAGGCTGGAGCACAGTGGCACAAACATACTGCAGCCTCAAACTCCTGGACTCAAGCGACCCTCCCGCCTCAGTCAGGGAATTTTGCCTTTTTTTTTTTCTCTAGAGTTTCACTCTGTCGCCCAGGCTGGAGTGTAGTGTTGCAAACTCACTGCAGCTTCAGACTCCTGGGCTCAAGCAACTCTCCCGCCTTAGCCTCACAAGTAGGTATCTGGGTGTGCACTACCTCACCCAGATAATTATTTTTTATTTTCATAGAGATGGAGTCTCACTGTGTTGCCCAGGCTGGTCTTGGACTCCTAGGTTCAAGCGATCCTTCTGCCTCGGCCTCCCAAAGTGCTGGGATTACAGGTGTAAACCACCACCCCAGCAGGGAGGATGTTCTTTAAGCAACGCCTTCTGTGCCCTGATGTGGAGAAGGGAATGCTAAGTAGAGGCGGGGTCTTGTGTGAGGATGACAAGGCATCAGGGGAGCACACTTCATTCCGAGTCATCAGGAAAAGCTGAAGTGTAGGGTGCAAAGAAAGTGACAGGAGTGAGAGAGTGGCTTCAGAGAGATGTGGCTGTACAGCTCCAGAGGAGTCTGGGTCATGAAGACGTATGTAGCGCTTGTAATAAAGAGCACATAGTAGGTGCTCAAGAAAAGTAGCTGAGCCAACTCTAGGCATTGAAATCATGAGGCCCATGTGTATCACATGGCTAGACTGATGTACTCTGATCACACACTCTCTAGCACAAAAACATGCAGTGACTCTGCACCATCAATTGGATGGAGCACCGAGCTTCTCATCTGGACATTTGTGGTTCTTCATGTCATGCCTCAGAGGATGCCAAGACATTCAGGTAATTGCAATTCCTGACTGCAAGTAACTGCCACTTGCTATACTGTCTCTAAGGATTTTGCTTCTGCTGTAACCTCCCCTTGCAGAGCCCACCTCTCTATCTCCCTCTGTGAAGATCCTACCCATTGCAAATGCCATTGTCTCCACAAAGGCACTTCTGCCATACCCAGCAGATAGGATCTCAGCCTCTTGTGAGAACCCTCACGCCATATAAAAAGTCTTATATTCCTGCAACACTTTCCTTCAGGCCGCCCCCCAAACCAACACCTACATGGGAATCTGGCCTGTCCAAGTTGAAAGGGCCCTTCCAGGCTATCTGAAACAGTGGCTCTTAAGGTTTTGCAAAAATCAGAATATCTTAGTTCCATTTCAGAATCAGAATTAAAACACATGTACTCGTACATGTTGGAAAGAAAAAAATTCTAGGTAATTTTCTCAGACACCAGAAGGTGAGAATCACATATCTAGTATAATCACTTCATATTGTGATGGAAAAATGAGAGGAAAGTGACTTGTCCAAGGTCATGTTGACCTCAGGGACGATGGGACTTGAGGCCTGGTCTTTTGACCTTCATGTGCAGGTGCCTCTGGGAACACACTTTTTGCACAGTCCATAGCTAACTTCCTCCACTCAGCCCAACCAAGTACCATTTCTCCCTTCAACTGCTTCCTGCCACCTAAAAGTGGTTGAAACCACGGACTACTGTTGTCTATATCCTATTCTCTTTGTCCTTAGGGATGGATAAATACTATGTGTGATTCATCCCACTGTGCGCTACGTATCCATCTTTTTCCTTCAACTTTTAAGTTCCGGGATGCATGTGCTGGATGTGCGGGTTTGTTGCATAGGTAAATGTGTGCCATGGTGGTTTACTGCACAGATCAACCCATCATCTAGGTACTAAGCTCCTTAATCCCTTAGCTGTTGCTCCCGGTGCTCTCCCTGCCCCTCAGTGCCCCCGACATGCCCCACTGTGTGTTGTTCCCCACCACATGTTCATGTGTTCTCATTGTTCTGCTCCCACTTATAAGTGAGAACATGTGGGGTTTGGTCTTCTGTTCCAACATTAATTTGCTGAGGGAGATGCCTTTCAGCTCCATCCATGTTCCTGCAAAGGACAAGATCTCATTCCTTATAATGGTTACATAGTATTCCATGGCATACCTGTACCGCATTTTCTTTATCCAGACTATCATTGATGGGCATTTGGGTTGATTCCGTGTCTTTGCTATTGTGAAGTGTGCTGCAGTGAACATGTGTGTGTCTGTATCTTTATAAAAGAATGGTTTATATTCCTTTGGGTATATACCCAGTAGTGGGAGTGCTGGGTTGAATGGTATTTCTATGAGAGATGAATTCTTTTTTATTCCTTTACCATGGGATGTCAGGAGAAAGAGAAGATACAACTGGGTGGTCAGTCAGCTGAATGTAACTGCGGATCCTTTAGGTGTAGGAAGCAGAGAGGGGAAAATGTGACCACCTCGGAAATTCTTTGCTCTTCCCCTCCTCCTGGGGTTGCTGCCCAGCCCCGTCAAGAAGGAAAACAGGCTGTTCCTCCCCCACTGGCTTCCCCTCCCCCACCTCACTGTGGCCGCAGTTAGACCAGCACAGGCAAAAAAGAGAGCAGCAAGACTTAGTCATGCTTTTCCTCTCCAGGCTCCTTCAGCACACGGAAGGAGCTGGCTGGAGGCTCTTATCACACAGAAACGTAATCGGTATCGCGTCCACTCCAATGTGACTGCCAAGGACACAGGCTTCTCCAGGCTCTAGTATAAAGGCTAGGACCAAGTCATAACTCAATTAAATAGTTGTGTAACTGAACAAGCTGGGACAGATGGCATAGGATGGACTGATGTATAAGAGATGCTCTCAGAATAAACACTGAACCAGTTATTCATATGAACACATTTCTTGGTTAGACATTTGAAAATCAGAACTGCCCGGAGATAGGTTTGCTTAGTCATCTTTTACGAAATAAGTGCCAATTACAGAGGATAGGTAGAAATCAGATAGAGTTCAGCCCATGCAGCTGCCTCCTAAGAGATCTCTGGCCACATCCAGTGATGTCCAAGGGTGTCCAGGAGTGCTCCAGCCCTCTTTCCTCCTCCTGGATGTCCTGAGCAGCCTAGAGCTTGGCCCTGCCTGCTTGCCTTGCAGTTCAGCCTGATCCTTGCAGATCAGGGCACAGGAACTGACAAGGGAGGAGTCATTTGCCCAGCATCATACAACCACAGAAATACTGGTCTTGCTTTGTCCAGCCCTGGGGTCAAGTGTTCTGAGTTCCCTCACTTAGAGAGGAAGCAAGCTATGCAGGAAAAGCAGGATAGGCAGACACAGCTGGGTCAGATCTCAGCTCCACCACTTGACCCTGGGCAAGTAACTTATGCTCTCTGAGTCTTTGCTCTTTCTCATAAGCTGCACAGCTGACTGGACTTGGCCAACTCTCCTGATGTTTTTAAGATAAACTCCCCAGGCTGAGGCAGGAGAATCGCTTTAACCCAGGAGGCAGAGGCTGCAGTGAGCCAAGGTTGTGCCACTGCACTCCAGCCTGGGTGGCAGAGCAAGACTCTAGTCTTAAAAAAAAAAAAAAAAAAAGATGAACTCCCCAAGCCTTAAACATGTTTATTTGAGGTGACCCAAAGGACCAAGTGAGATTTAAGAGAAGGGAGGGGAGAGGAAAAGAAAAAGTTGAATCATTCAAAATCATTGCAGAGCACCTAATAGGTACCAGACACTGGGGATACTGCAGGGGCCAAGACAGACATGGGCCCTGGTATTGGGAATTGTGGTAAGTCAAGGTAAGTGCTTTGAGGAGACAATGTCCTGTGAGCTGCAGAGTGTGCAGAAATGCTCACCACAGGGTGAGACACATGGTAGATGCTTCAGTGACACTGTGTCCTTCTTTCCTCTCCATCCTGGCCCACTCTCAGCGTCAGCACATGAACCCAAGCAGTGCCCTCTCCCCAACTGGGGCCACTTCCTGGTCTCTTTCCCTTCTCATCTGGTGCTGCTCGACACCCACGCCAAGCCTTGCGTCATTGCCCACATGAGCACAGTGTCCTCTCGGGTCCTCCAGTCTGCAGCAGACCCCCTACATCCTGCAAGCACAAGTTCAAATCCACAGCAAAGGCCCGAGCACCCAAGCAGCTCGGGATTCAAAGCCCTTTCTCATGTTTTCCAGCACCTCCCTACACTCTGCCCACATACCCTTTTCCCTTATTTTTTCCCCTGACATTTAGGATTTTTTTTTTTTTTAAGAAGGCTTCTCCTATTTACGTCTCAGAAACATTGTGAAGGAGGCATGGAGAACCCCTCGTAGCAATAGGAAAACCGAGGGGTGCCCCAAAGGATGTCACAGGAACCCAGCTTTTCAAGATGCTGCTGATTCTGACACGAGCATGGCCCACCGTGCTCAGGGTGACATGCAACTGTCTCAGTTGGCCT